ATTGGCTTTTCTAATATCTTATTAAAACAAATCTTTCTTTAATTTGAATTAATTCGATTATATATAGATACATGTATAAAATTAAACGAAATTAAATAAAAATAAATAAAATTGTGTAAAATTAAATAAAATTCAGTAAAATTAAGTAAAATTGAATAAAATTGAATAAAATTGAATAAAATTGACTAAAATCGAATAAAATTAAATAAAATTGAATAAAATTGAATAAAATTAAATGAAATTAAATAAAATGAAATAAAATTGTATAAAATTGTATAAAATTGAATAAAATTAAATAAACTTGAATAAAATTGAATAAAATGAAATAAAATGAAATAAAATTGTATAAAATTAAATAAAATTAAGTAAAATTGAATAAAATTGAATAAAATTAAATGAAATTAAACAAAATTAAATAAAATTTGTAAGCAAATTTTCAGGAAAATGAAATGATAAAATGTACTAATTAAAATATCAGTACGCGTGATTTCAGTGATTGCTCAGGTTCAGTACATGGAAATGACGAAATCCGGATTAATTATAGTGACGGTTTCGTCGAACATGACCAGTTTGCGAGGCGGCGTGGGTTTTAAAAGGAAAATGGGCTGCGATGGTTAAAGAATTCTCGTGAATAACGCGTGATAAAAGTTAAACGTCTCTGCGCGTTCGACCGGGGAAGTGTTTCAAGTTATTTGTTTGGTTCGTGAAGAGGTTCGTGACTAGTCCAATGACGAGTCCAATGACGGGAGATCACCTTGAAATTTGAACGCTACGCGACGTTGCACAGGATGCGGAATTGTGTATCTTGGAAATTGTAGACTAGATTATACACGATCGAGTTATTGGTCAAGAAGTTAACTTTCACCTCGTTGCAACTCATTCTTGCAACTTGAGCGCTGGCTGGCTGGCTGCGTTGCATTCCTTTGAGAAATGATCGTCGAACCACCGACACCGATTTAATTGTTCCAACATTGTTCCCATTAACGCATTTAGAATCCCATGACCTGGGAGGATTTTCCAGATAGACTTAATTAGGTTCACATGGTTAAGGATAACGTGCATCCGAACCATAATTAACGTGACAGCCATTTCGAACTAGAGCATTATTTATTGTTGTTCTTGAAAAAGTTGTTGTTAAAAAGTTCACAATATAGACTGGTATTTGCACAGTGTTTTTAAATGTAAATAAATAAATGATTAATAAATAAATTATAATAAATACATTATCAATAAATGTAATAAACAAACTATAATAAATATATTCTAATAAATATATTATCAATAAATGTAATGAAGAAACTATAATAAATATATTATCAATGAATATAATAAACAAACTATAATAAATATATTATAATAAATGTAATAAACAAACTATAATAAATATATTATAATAAATATATTATCAATAAATATAATGAACAAACTATAATAAATATATTATCAATAAATAAATTATAATAAATATACTATTTAATAACCATTACTTAAATTAATGAAAATATTTAGGAAAATAGAAATCGTGAGTGGTTTCGATAGCGCTTATTGCTATACCGTGGGTTTCCATGTAAAATAAGAACGTTCCCCATTAATTTAGAAATGGAAATTAATTTCGTTCGGAGCACGATCGAAATGAATTACCTCTTTGCATGCAAGAAAGAGGAGCCAATTAAAAATTTCTTTTTTTAATAATTCTCGTTAAGTGGAAAATAACGCAATGATGTTTCTTTTTGATCTTGCTACCGTTCTTAAGTTGCCCTACCATAAACGCGCTAGTACAGTTAATAGCAAATTTATAATCAGCGAGTTACGTTCCAGTTACACGCGCAACTGAATCTCCATCTTTATGCACTGTAGCTACGTTTTCGTTTTCCTCGGGGTGAACGCAACAGAAGTGTCGTGAATTTTTAGAAAGTATTTAAAAATATTTAATTTTCAAAATGTGGTAAAGTTTAAAATTCGTAAAATTTTAAATATAGTAAAACTTAAAATATTGTGAAACTTAAAAGATTCTAAAATTTAAAATATTGCGAAGTTTAAAATACTTTAAAGTTTAAAATATTGCAAAATTTAAAATATTGCAAAATTTAAAATATCGTAAAGCTTAAAACATTGTAAAATAAAAAATGAAAAATTTGTAAATAACTAGAATCATATTTTCCTGTCAAAAATCACGGCCCGTTCGATGTTAATTCTCGCATGACGTAATTTTCGTTAGCGACGCTCGCATCGTCGCGGCCAAAAATAATTTCGGCATTGGCCGCCGTTCAGTTTTTACGATGGGTCCGGTGAAAGTGTGTACATAAATCCCTAGGGTGGAAAGAGATCGCGAAACCGCGATCAGCGCCAAGGAGTCTACGGTAGAACGTACAAGCCGAGGCGCGGTATATACAGGGTGTCCCAAAAATGTCTTGCAATCCGGAAATGGCGGGTTCCTCGGATCATTTGAAGCAGCTTCTTCCTTTGCAAAAATTTTCTCCGAGGCACCATTAATGAGTTATTAACGAAAAACAATGTCCAATAAGAATCGAGTACGGCTGGCGCGAGGCGGCCCTGCCAACCAGCGCACGAAGCCCAGTTCCGCTCATTGGCTCGGTCGCTTCGCGCCAGCTGAGCTCGCCTCTCATTGGTCACTGTTTTTCGTTAATAATTCGTTAATGGTGCCTCGGAGAAATTTTTTCTAAAGGAAAAAGTTGCTTCAAATGACCCGAGGAACCCGCCACTTTCGGATTGCGAAACATTTCTGGGACACCCTGTATACATACATAATCGCGAATGTAAATTCTCCGAGCGACTGGTTCGACGTTCATGGGAAAATTTATGCGTAACTTTATACAGAAAGAGAGCCGGCAGCTCCGTACAGTCTAGTTGCAGTTGTTGCAACCGGTCTTCGGTTCCCGTAACGGAGATCCCATACGATTATTTGAAATGTCGTTAGTGTCTTTACGTCACGTGCACGCGATCGCGAGAAGGACTTTCGTTCGTTCTATTTTTATCGCGGACTTGCGGATGCGGTTTGGTTATCAGAACGCGGAACTATTCTTTTTTCCATAACAATCTACACACTCGAGCGAATTTTCGATGAATAAATCGATCGATCCTTTTCATCGCGTACATAACCTACAATTTCGAAAAGTACGTATGTTTACGACGCGCGTTGTTCGTCGAATCGTTTGATCGTTTATCGAACATCGATTCAACGAATCGGCGCAGAACTTTTCTTCTCTTGTTTTTTTTCAATCGAGCTTCCGAAGTTTTTATCGTACTTTTTTTTTTGGTTCTTCGAAGCATCTTAAGCCGTCGGAGAACGAAAATGCGTTTATTTTCGCAGCAATTTTCGGTTAAACAACGGATCGCAATTACGTTTTACAGTTAAACAGCGGATCACAATTAAGTTTTATCAGTAATTAGTCAAAATAGCGGTTCGTAATTATGTTTTATCGCGTCTCCTTCGGCGACGAGTACGCGAGTGAAAAAACACAGTTAACAAAAGTGACTTGTTAAAGCAATTATTTTGTTCGATGCGCCTAAGAGTAAATATTAGTTTCTCTTTGTTTCGTGCCTTGTTTTTAGAATTTTCGTAACAGCAAACTATTACCGAATGTCATTTCGCGCGTCTAATTGTCACATTGCAATACATATAAATGTTATAATCTTTTTAATAGTAATCAATAGTAATAGTAGTATAATTAGTAGTAATAACAGTAATAGTAGTATAATTAATAGTAATAATAGTAATAGTAGTATAATTAATAGTAATAACAATAATAGTAGTATAATTAATAGTAATAATAGTAATAGTAGTATAATTAATAGTAATAACAATAATAGTAGTATAATTAATAGTAATAATAGTAATAGTAGTATAATTAATAGTAATAATAGTGATAGCAGTATAATTAATAGTAATAATAGTAATAGTAGTATAATTAATAGTAATAATAGTGATAGCAGTATAATTAATAGTAATAATAGTAATAGTAATTAATAGTAATTAATAGCAGTTAATAGTAATCTCTATTTGGAATAATCGAATATGTGTTCTTGGAGGGGAATTTCGGCTACGAAAATTTGTCGAAGAAAAGTACGTTTCGACGATGTTTAACCAGTTTATACGACCCTTTTTTTCTAGTTTTACATTTTGGCGTTTTCATTTTTATTTTTACGGACAAAGATTTCTGTTTTCAAAGAAGGATCGATTAATCGTTGCGTCGCATCTAACGGAACACAAAATCGTTTTGCAGAAATGGGAGCACTTATGGGGCCTTCCAGTCGAAAGATCCCATTTTGGAGATCGAGAAGTCCGGCGACAAGGAAGGCGGAAACAACGAGCACGGGATTTCCGTGAATCATCCGACCTCGTAAGTTGAATAACCTTAATACATACACTCCCATCCGTTGGTTTCTTTGTCCTTCACCATCGGTTCGATTCGACGCCTGTGTTCTTCCAATGGTCCCGTCGAGGTTAAACGTTAAAACATTATTTTCGTTAACATACAATTACGTCACAAAATTGTGGATACACCTTTTAAAACGCGATAACCTTTTTCAAGCTGGACTAAGTGACTTCAACGTTTTATAGATGATAGCGAAACTAGTTTACCGGACGATGACCGAAATCCTTTTTCTAAATTTTGCTATTACTTGGAATGACAAAAAAATAAGTAAAATACTCTCGTTCTTTAACTTTTTCATCCGAGCCTTCGAATAATCAAAAATCTGAATAACAAAGATCGAGAAAAATCCTGTTCGGTTAATCGAGGTTCTACTGTACGAATAATCTGTCCCTTTTTTATCTCATACATAACCTACAATTTCAAAAAGTACGTCTGTTTACGACGCGCGTTGTTTGTCGAATCGTTTAATTGTTCATCCAATATTAATTTAACAGATCCGCAGAACTTCAACGAATAGAGCTTTTATTCCTATTTTATTTAAACAGATAATATATGGCAAATAAAATAGCAAATAAAGTAGCAAATAAAATAAGAAATAAAATAAGAAATAAAATAGCAAATAAAATAGCAAATTCACCACGAATTCAATGTACGCGGACGATCGAATTAATCTATAGGGAACGAGAACAGTCCGCACGATATCTTTGTTACGCAGACTGCATAGAAGGCCGTGTTTTACGATCTTTGCTCATACGCGATCATGCGTGTGTACGTTTGTGCGGGACTACGTCGTCAGGCGACTGCAGAGGATAGGTTCCGTTTTGCGGTTAAAACTCGCACGACACCGCCTACGGTCACTTTCTGTTGCTCATGAATACATATACATACATATGTATACTCGGCGTTATCCCTGCGAGCGTCTTGATTTGCTTACAGGACGTACGAAGAAATACAGGGTGTCCCAAAAATGTCTCGCAATCCGAAAGTAGGGGATTCCTGAGGTGATTCGAAGCAACTTTTTCCTTAGCAAAAATGCAATCCGTGGCTTCGTTTACGAGTTATTAATGAAAAACAGTGACCAATCAGAGGCGAGATCATTTGGCGCGAGACGGCCGAGCCAATGAGTGGAACTGGGCTCCGTGCACTTGTTGGCTGGGCCGCCGCGCGCCAGCCGAGCTCGCCTCTTATTGGTCAGTGTTTTTTTTTAACTCGTAAACGAAGCCTCGGAAAAAATTTTCACAAAGGAAAAAGTACTTCAAATGACCTCAGGAACCTCCCATTTCCGGATTGCGAGACATTTTCGGGACACCCTGTATAGGCGAGAACCGTGCTTACAGAGGAATCGAATTCAGTAAAGAGATATCGATATATTACTGAATTGAATATATATATATATATATACGTTATATTGATACCAATCAACTGTGTTATTTTTCTTTTGTTTTTATTATCGTGACCTTTCGAGTATCGGACCAGATTTATTCGTTATACATATAGAGTGCTCAAGCGTAAGCATTAAATAGTAATTAAATTGCGATAGCATTAAATATTAATTTTTGATATTTATAGTAATATTTTATATTTATATATTTCAACTTATTTTGATATTTTTCTCCTTTTCTTTTTGTTTCTCTTTTTTTTCCTTTTTTCTCTTTGTTTGCACTTATTGCTATATAAAGTCTTCTTCTGTAGAAATAACAGAAAGGGGCTTTCTATTCGCATACATGAATAAATTATTATTATTGTTATGATTATTATTATTATTGTTATTATTATTAGTCAACCGTTTGCACATCTGAAAAATCATTGTAGAAGTATTCGAGTGACTCATCCTTTTCTCCTAGTATTCTATAAATTATTTCAGTAAAAATAGATTTACGTGAAAGAGGAATTTCATTCGAAGAACGAACTTGCAACAATCTCGCGCCAGCTATGAATAAATACATTATTTATAACGCCAAGATAAGAATATCATTTTCCTTGCAAAGAAAGAAGTCATTTTTTTAAAATAGTATTTCGTATAACATTTTGTACAATGTAGTGGAAATACAACTGAAACAATTGTTATAATTTCTCTGATCGTTTAATTATCCTCGAAGACTGTTTGGGAAATTCCTTCGAATAGATTCCTTCGTGATTGGCTGATCTTCGTTACTGCAACGCGATTATGCAACGGCTTCATAGTCGAAGATATCGTGAAATATTTTGATGGATTATTGTACGCTGTTTTTTATTTTCCTTATTATCGAATTTGATTTTTTTTTAAGCTTTCGCTGCGACTGCACGTTCCTTCTACGTTCACTGAATAATATTATTTTTAATACGAAATTTTATAAAAGTTCAACGTTAAAAATGTTATAAACATTAGCGTTAAACGTGTTATTAAAATTAGTGTTATAAAAATTAGTGTAAAAATGTTACAAAAATTATTGTAAAAATATTATAAAAATCACTGTAAAAATGTTATAAAAAAAGATTCTTTATTTTTTGATAATTTATTTTCTGCTCGACTTTCAGCACTTCGTGTGTGCGAAAAAATGTCAATTTTTATGCAAAAGAAAAAAAGAATAAGAACGGGACACGTTCGTGGATCTTTTTCCGCGTTACGCACGAAGTCAGAGAGTGCAGAAAGGAAGGAAGCAATTTGGCGAATCGCGACGTTGCTATTCATCAGGATCATCGTAATTTTCCGTGCGCGGTGGTGTTTATTTTCCGAGAATAGCGTTTCCTTCTTCTCCGTCCGTCCTCTTTGTCCCGCTTAAAAGCATCCGGATAATTCGTAGATTTATCTTTCCTCCGAAGCTGCTTGCTTGCGAACGGATCGTACAGGTATCGGCGATTTTTCTTACGGCGCACCGTAATTGTCGCGAGAGTAATTAAAGCACAGTGCTTGTCGGGACCTTGAGGTATCGCGCGGCACGGAACAATTCAGCCTCGAATTCCGTTCGCTGGAACATAATTTAACACCTCGATTAACATGCCGGCCGTGAATGAACGGCGGTACAAGTTTCCCTATTGCGATTGGAAAAACGATTTTATTGGTATTTACGCAATTTTATGTAGGTTATTTTATTGGTAGAAGCTGTAAGAAACGAGGTCGAGTCGTGCGAGATTGAATATTAATTAAAGACAAAAAAATAGATCATTATTGCTTATAGAGGGTTCGATAAAAAGTGTAATTGGTTTCAGATTGGAATTTGATTGAAGATATTGAATTTGACATTGAGTCGTGATTACACTTAGATTTTATTGTTCGATGATTAATCGCGATTTTAAGACTACTTTATCTTACTAAAGATATTATTATATATATATATATATATTGAACTGAATTTTATTAAAGATATTATTGAATTCGAAATAGAACGAATATTGAGAGTCGTAGTTCCACTTTTACTATAAGACTACAATTTTACTATCAGATAATTTATAGCGATTTTTAACTCTACGTTTGTTTATTTCATTTATAACGTTTTATTTCGTTGCATAATCAAATGTAAAATGTCCTATCTTTCGCAGTAATTTTACGAACAATTTTTATCATTACCACTCATGAATTTTTCATGATTTCGATCATTGTCGAGGAAGAAATCCGACAGAAAATCTATCGCTGAAAGCCGGACATTTCAGCGGTTACTATGTACAGTAGGAAAAGTAATGCGCGCGCATATATAACCCTCCCCTCTCCTCCCGTTGTTCTTCTTGTCGGGAACTGTGAATTATGGGACAGACGAAACAGCCCGATTTTTGAATAACACACCGTCGGCCATCGTCGACCATCGTTGGCACACTCGTACGGCGACTTAACGCCGGTTTATGCATGACGGTCACGTGGCGAAGTAATTTCCTTCATTTGCGTGCACGCGCAACATTAATGGAAATCACAATATGAAACAATTCGCAGGAATGTAAATGCCACGCACATTAAATACGAAACGTCGCGTCGCTAGTGGAGCGTTCTTCAACCACTCAGACGTATGCATTTTCACCAATTCGTGGATCGACGGCAGTAAAGTGGCGAATCTGCATAGCCTGCGTCATTTGGGATGCCAATCTTAAACTTGTTTAATGCCCCGAAATTAGTTTACACTGCGACTGTTTAATCCAACGACTTAAATTTTGATGGGCCGAAAATGATTCGTTGAAACTGGAAACTGCGTTGGTTGTTATTACTTATTGTAATTGTTGCAGCAAATTTCTATTTTGTATAATAATTCATACTCTTCTCAGAAATTTTATGCAGTTCGTTATAACAGCGTTATTATTATTTATAAATATAATTATAAATTCCTAGCATGGAAAAATTTTTGTTAAAAATTGGCCATCTTTGATCGACGATAACTCCGCGAAAAATCATCGTACGATAATGATCTTCCTTTCAAATTAAAGCTTGAAACCTCTACTTCAAGATCCCGTCGCTCAATTTTTAGTTCAACTCATATTTGCCACTGTAATCCTTTAAATGTGACGCCACGTCATATCGAAAATGGTCATGTTTGTCGTATCGAAAATTGTCGAGTTTGACGAAATGCACGGTCTCGGTAAAATTTTTCTCAGGAATGTCGTAGGATAAAGGTCGATTCTTCCCTTTTAATTTAGAAAAAACGGAACGTGACTGCGATCTTTTTTCGCAAAGTTACAGTACTTTAAAAGTAACCCTTGCACGTTTGTCACGTACCGTCGGCATTTGAGAGATTTACAGCGGCGAGAGCATGTTAAACATAAAATCGAGAAACAATGTCTTAAAGTAGAAGTTTCAAGCTTTAATTTAAAAAAAGAGTCATCATTCTACGACGATTTTTCACGGAATTATCGTCGGCGAAAGTTGGCCAATGTTTATCCATTTGCCTACGCTATCATTCGTTTGGGCAAGTTTGTCTTCGCAGTTTACATCGAACCGTACTGAAAAAAATGCTATAGATTTCGATAAATTGTACAAACATATATTTTCAGTGACGGTGCTCGTCGGAATGATTGTTTGTGCCGAGCATGATTAACGAGCAACATTGAAACGCAGCCCCTTCTCGCAGCCTCGAAAACCGAAGACGATTCTCGAAATAAATATTTTGGCATTAGTTCTCATCGGTTCGCGTAATTTCCACATTTAACTCATTTAGTGAATCGCCCGTGACGCAGGGATATTAGTAGTATTTTAATCGATTACACAATTACGAGTTTCATTGAAACGTCAATTTGCAAAAATAACAGACAACGGATTGCCCGGAGCAGACGCACCGGCGTCCATTTTTGCTCTCTCAATCGCAGACATTTTAACGAACTTAGAATCCCATGTAAATATATCTGCACGTTTCGATGAGACTCTAGCCAATATCTAGACAGAAATCTATTCGGTGCTTAAATGTAGAAGTTAGCAGAATCGTTAATGCGACACTGTAACTTTTCAATAAAATTGTCAGCATGCAGTGAAAATAACAATAAAACAAACACGAATTTTTTAATTTCTTTTGTCATTCCAAGTATGTACAGCGAAATTGAAATAAAAAGTATTTTAGTCGTTGTCTAATAGGCTAGTCTTTCTGTCTTTGAAAGAATATTTCAATAATTTAGTCCAATTTGAAAAAAAGGTTATACCGTTCCTCAAGTGTCCTTGAGTATATTCCACTTACTTGCCAGATAAAAGACCTTTTAGTTTCTAATGATCAACAATTTGCATGATGCAATGATCAATTTGTGACCATTTATACCACTCAAAAGTATCTGCACTAACATCATTGTCTAAACGTATTTCAAGCAGTTTAAGATAAAAAATAAATATTTAGCATACAGCATGTGTAGCACAGCATGTATGAATTGAAAAATAAAGGTGTAAAAAATAGAGAGAGAGAGAGAGAGAGAGAGAGAGAGAGAGAGAGAGAGAGAGAGAGAGAGAAAGACTGAAGTAATTCACAATATAAATTATTACAAATTATTGACTATAATGACTAAATAAAAATAAATAAAATAAAAATTGTACTTGCGAATTGCAGCAATCTGTTGCCAGGCAGAAACTTCTTTCTTCCTCTAACAATTTTAATAACTTGAAAATAGTACAACGACGCTCTTAAATTCTCCTAATCTGTCTACTGTTTTAAATTCTATCTATTTTCGTCTTAAACGCATAAAATCCGCAGTCTATTAATCATAAAGAAAACGAAGCTTTAAATTAATAAAATCATTTTTAAATAAGCGGAAATAAATAAATAAATAAAATTACATTTGTCCTTCTCTCAAATTGTCCATTTTAGTTTCCAAGCCGAGCTTTCGTCTCCTTTCTCAATTAGGAAGAATTTACTGTATTCAAAATGACCGGCACCTAATTTCTCCTTTTACGATTGCTGATATTACGAAAATGCATCTATAAGAATTATTTCGATAAATCTTTTCCTTCGAACGTATACTGCAATAGAGATTGTGCAAAGTTTTTAAATAAATCCAATCCTGGCATTGCTATAAAACAATGCGCATAAGTCGCGTTTTGGGTTCGATAGTTCTAGTGTTAACTAAGGTTATGTCACGTGCATCGCGTACATCTCTGGTGAAATCTTCAATCTATTCTTCGAGTGACATATCTCGGACTTATTTGTAACGAAATCCCGTCCGCTATTATTTCCGTCGTGCACTTCTATTTCCGATCGGTCCTCTCGCACGAAGAACGATCGTGCTCGCGGACGGTTTAACGGTGGCCTACGGATTAGCCAGCGACTACACCGCGGACACGTGTTTATTCGAGACACGAACTCGCGGTGAACGGGTGAACGGGGCGCGGCGGCGGCGACGGCGGCGGCGGCACCGCCGAGAGTTTTCAAACTCGGTCGGGCAGGTTCATTCGCCGGTGATTTTAAATTAGCTCGCGCGATGGGACAGGGGAATGCTTGGAAAATTCGTTGTTAGCTATGCGCCGCGGGCCTTTGTGCTGTCGAATTGTTACGCGGACTCTGTCTCTCCCATGCTTCGAATAACATTCGATTTAAAAATGAACCGCGCGAAAAACCGTTCGATTCCTTGACCCCGATTTTTACGTTCCGAGAAATCGAGTTTCTTATGGTTTGTCTTGGAAAATTACGATTTTCCGTACATCTAAGCTACCTAATAATTTCGGGATAATTTGAATGATAATTTCGTAATAATTTAAATAATAATTTCGTAATAATTTGAGTAAGAATTTCGTAATAATTTCAGTATTAATTTCGTAATAATTTGAGTAAGAATTTCGTAATAATTTCAGTATTAATTTCGTAATAATTTCAGTAATAATTTCGAGCAAATTAATGCGAAATTCAAGGTACAGCTGCTGCTCCTTTAAGCAGTAATGTCCAACAAGTAGAACTTTGTATTGTTGCGTTGTTTTTCGTGTCACATCTACTTGAACACGCTGTAGTTGTAATGTATCAGTGTAGCAATCTACTCATGGTCGATGGAATTATTACAGGTATTTAGAAACAATGATGCACCTGTTCAAAGGTAACGTCGGCTCGGGTATATTTGCGTTGGGGGATGGATTCAAGCATGCCGGATTACTGCTGGCTCCGCCGCTTACGATCTTCCTAGGGGTGATTTGTGTTCACGCGCAACACGTTCTCGTAAGTAGCCCGAACGTCGAAATAACTTCGTTAATAATTATACACCGGCCAAAATAGAACCTCGATTCCCGCCGTGCAATTTATTAGGTCCTTGACGCATGAAATGCGTCTGACTTTTATGATAGCAATATAATATAAGCAATATAATTTATTTCATTCTACTTAATTGTTGCGCGATATCATTCCCGTTTCAAATCATTTCATCTGCATTTCTATGTATCAAAGATCTATCGTGATTTTAAATGTCCAGTTAAATTTCTACGAGAAATATATTAAAATTTTAATTTCTAGTCAAATTTCTATTCAAAATATTCTACAATTTTTATTTCTCGTCAAATCTCTGTTCTAAATACAGGGTGACCCAAAAATGTCTCGCAATCTGAAAGTGGCGGGTTCCTCGGGTCATTTGAAGCAACTTTTTCCTTTACAAAAATTTTCTCCGAGGCACCGTTAACGAGTTATTAACGAAAAACAGTGACCAATGAGAGGCGAGCATGACTGACGCCCCGCCCTCGCGACCGCTGCGCCGACGGACGGCGTGACGCGGCATTGGCCGCGAGAGCGAAGCGCCGGCCGCGCTCGTTCTCCGAATGATCGCCGCTTTGTGCGCTCGTTGGCTCGGCCGCCTCGCGCTGGTCGAGCTCGCTTCTCATTGGTCACTGTTTTTCGCTAATAACTCGTTAACGGTGCCTCGGAGAAAATTTTTGTAAAGGAAGAAGTTACTTGAAATGATCCGAAGAACCAGCCATTTCCGGATTGCGGGACATTTTTCGGACACCCTGTATATTAAAATATAAATTCCTATGAAAAACGCCGGTGCACAGCGTTCGACGCAGAGTCGTGCTTGAATTACAATTGAATTACTTCAATTACATCATAATTCAAACGCGTTGTATTCGAGTGATTAAAATAATCAGTAATTGAATTAATTGTAAGGGTTGAAAACACGCAATTAGAATCGCAACGTAACGTTGAATCGCTCTGTAATTCAAATACGATGATAGTGAAATCGCGAAATTGAATGCGCAATGTACTCGACGTCGCATAACTCTGGGCTGGTACGACGAAATAAAACTATTCGATAATTGTCGCAGCTGAAATGCAACGCGGAGGTGACGCGGCGAGTGAACGATCCGACGGCCACGTCTGGATTCGCCGGTACTGTGGAAATGTGCTTCGCCACCGGCCCTCTGTCACTCCGAAAATACTCCGTGTTTATGAGGTTTGTATGTGTGTCAGAGAAAGATGAAATAGGAATCCCATCGACTGTTTGTTTAGCATCATACCGAAATCCGCTTGACGCGTCGCGCCGCGTCGCGACCAGGGACTAATTTCAAACGGGAAACAAATAGAGGAGCCGTTGAACCAAGTTGTTGTTTCGGCAACACTTTAAACAGTTCTTCGGAACAGCCGTTTCGGCTGTTTCCTTATCTGTCTCAAGCGACGTATGAATCAATTATTTTTAAGCGATTATCGTTACGATATTATTATTATTATTATTATGACCTTTCAATATTTCAAGGTTATTTCAGACATCTCGGACCGGCTTTAGTATTGTTTTCGAAGATGAATAGTTTAGTATTGTTAAATAGATTTCTACTTCTTTGTTAATTTATCAGATCGAGCAAGCTTAAATGTTATTTCGTTTCCGTTGTTGCACAAATTTGTTTTCTTTGTTCGTCAAAAGTTTAATATTATTTTAAATTCATTTCCAATTTATTTTGTTAATTTATTAGATCGTGCAAGCTAATTTTATTTCGTTTCCGTTATTGTTTCCGAAGATGAAAAGTTTAGTATTGTTAAATTGATTCCTAATTCTTTGTTAATTTATCAGATCAAGCAAACTAAAATTTTATTTCGTTACCGTCGTTGCACAAATTTGTTTTCTTCGCTCGTCAAAAATTTAATATTATTTTAAATTCATTTCCAATTTGTTTTGTTAATTTATTAGATCGTGCTAGCTAATTTTATTTTGTTTCCATTGTTGTATTTTGATCCCCTCCTTCGTCAAAAGATTGATATTATTAAATTCATTTCCAATTTATTTTGTTAATTTATTAGATCGTGCAAGCTAATTTTATTTTGTTTCTGTTGTTGTACTTTGATCCCCTTCTTCGTAAAAAGGTTGATATTATTACATTCATTTCCAATTCTTCGTTGATTTATTCGAATTTCGTTTCGTTTCATTGTCGCGCAAATTCGATTACTCAAATTTTCATTTACATCGCGATCACAATTTACATTATCGTTCGTCCGTTTGTTCCAGAAAAATGGTTAATATATTTTTATGTGTCACGCAACTCGGATTTTGCTGCGTTTATTTCGTTTTCATTGGCACGAATATGAAGCAGGTGAGTTTACAATCATTGTTGTCATTTTATTATTAGATTCATTCAAGAATTTAGGGAGAATATATCTAATCTTAGACACGGACTAAATATTAACGTGAAATTTATATATATATTAATAATATATATTTATATTATATTAAAGCTATAAAGCTTTATTATATTGTATTAAATTATATTAAATATATATAATTAAAGCTATATAAAGCTTTAATTAAATATATTTAATATAATATAATCGATATAATCTTCGAAGTCCCGCTAGAATAACATAATCTGCGTGTCTCTGTATAACTGCTAATTCCGGCGCGTACTTTTCTGCTTGGTCGTCAAATAAACTGTAACAACTAGAACGATGTAACAACTCAAAATCGACTACATATAACAAATTGCAAAATTAACGAGCACTACTAATCGACGTGCACTACTAATTTTAAAATTTTCGTCGCAGGTGTTGGACGTGTACGGGATCCAGTTGGACGTCCATCAACACATGGCTGTGGTCCTGATCCCCATAATGCTGAGCACGTGGATCAGGAATCTGAAATACCTCGTGCCGGTCTCGTCGCTGGCGAATTTTCTAGTGATCGCTGGCTACGTCGCCACCATGTACATAATGTGCCACGATCTGCCGCCGATCCGCGAGAGGGATTACGTGGCCCAGTGGCACGATCTCCCCCTGTTCTTCGGCACTGTGATATATTCTTTCGAGGGTATCACGCTGGTAAGGCGCTTACACACACCGTTTTCCCTCGCATTTATGTAACGCTTATTTTGGCAACCGGCCGTTTTCGTCGCGAGTCTGTCCTACAGTCATCCGACTTGTCCGAGCTTTTCGACGCGTTCGTTCCCGGTGACGTCGACGCGCAGCGCCCCTCGTTAAGGTTAGGACACTTTTCGAAACGCGATAGCATTTTTAGAACCAGACCGAACGACTTGAGAAACGAGAGTCTTTTATTTGGTTTTGTTGTTCAAGTATTAGTAGTTAACAAAATGGTTTAGTAATTGTTTAGTATACTAGTCACAATATTATCTAAAAGAAAATTTTAATCGTTTATTCTAATTTTAAAAAGTGTAAATATTAATAGGAGTCATCGTATGTACGGTGCTCGCTTTGTACAATTTTTTAAAAAATAAGCTATTGATGTAGAGCGAAATATTATCCGGATGACTAATAAGAGAGAGAAATGCTGATCGGATAAAAATTGAACTAGATTAACAGTTGCTCGAGTAAGATTTTAATCGAATAAGATTGTATTCTTATTAAGTAATATTATTTAAAATAGTAGGTATTAATAATAGGTATAATATAGGTATAATATACAGGGTGTCTGAAAAATGTCTCGCAATCCGAAAGTGGCGGGTACCTCAGGTCATATAAAGCAACTTTTTCCTTTACAAAAATTTTCTCCGAGGCACCGTTAACGAGTTATTAACGAAAAACAGTGACCAATGAAAGGCGAGCTCGGCTGGTGCGAGGCGACCGAGCCAATGTGCGGAACTGGGCTTCGTGCGCTGGTTAGCTGGGCCGCCTCGCATCAGTCGTACTCGATTCTTATTGGTCACTATTTTTCGTTAATAACTCGTTAACGGTGCTTCGGAGAACATTTTTGTAAAGGAAGAAGTTGCTTCAAATGATCCGAGGAAACCGTCATTTCCGGATTGCGAGACATTTTTGAGACATCCTGTATATAATATAGGTATAATATAGGTATAATATAGGTATAATATAGGTATAATATAGAGGTTTAATATAATATAATAGGTATTAAAGTTTTACTATTATTTTTTAATAATGATAAATTGATATTAATTAAAATATTATTATTATAATTTAAAGTTTATTTAAAATTGAAAGTAATTATTGAACCCGAACGAATGATCGTTGTCGTTTGGTTTCAGGTGTTGCCCCTGAAGGATGAGATGAAGAAACCGAGTAATTTCAGTAAGCCGTTTGGAGTCTTAAATGTCGGTATGGTCATTGTGGGCGCCATGTTCGTCGCGATGGGTTTCATATCGTATTTAAAATATGGCGACACGGTTGCTGGATCGGTCACGTTAAATCTCGAGTCGAAAGAAGTGTGAGTATGCAAATCCATTTACCAAATTTCTCTCTCTATCTTTTTATCTTTTTTTCTCTCAACATATATACTTTACTTTTACTCAATCTAGATCAATCTTTTTCATATCGATATTTTAATTACAAATGTTAATCATTCGCTAAATATACATGTACATATATATGTATGTACAGGGTGTATATGTATACAGGGTCGAGAGCATTTAATACAGGTCATCTGAATAACTCGTTTGTCTTCAACGATAGAGAAAAAAGTTCCAGACGAAAGTGGCTCGATGTCGATGGGCAGATAATATGATGACAATGATTTTGTGATGGCTGGAGGCGTAGAGGACACACGAAGGACAAATGTATTTTTTGAAACACAGAACGGTATAATTTCATTCCAGAATCTTATTCTACCTAGAAAAAGAAGTAACTTCTGTCTGAAGCATTTCTTTCTTGTAGGAGCTTTAGTTTTTATGGTATCCAGGCGTATCATTAAAGAGATAGGTTTGACCTTGGTATGTCCTCTACGCCTGCAGCCGCCACAAAAATTATTGTCAACGTATCAAGTGCTCCTTGGAAGCCGAGCAACTTTTTTCCTGCAATTTTTTCCCTATTGTTGAAGAGAAATGAGTTATTCCAGTGACCTGTTTTAAATTGCCCATCTTGTATATTTAATATTGTACAAGCAAACTCGCGTTCAACGATACGAGGAGAAATTTCGTCGCCGTATTTCTTTCTGTGAATTCCTGAACGCTGTAAACATTTGGCAAGTGATTAAGCAAAACTCAAGGATTAGAAGCACAATGGTTTTTTATGTATTGATGTTAAATGGAAATCGCTTTTGCCGACTCTACAGTAGATTATTGTTGTGCGTCCAGGTGATAAATCGTTCTGCGTCACGAATTGTCAAAATTCTGTCAAACAAATCAAAACTGATACTGAAAAATAACGAGACGCAAACGTAGTTAAGAGAATACTCTTTGTAACATAATTTTCTGTTGCATACGAAGGGTGGATGGAAAAATCGTCGTCGTGCATTCAAGGTTTCTATTCATATAATATCTTTTTTTTGCCGAAGTGCTGCACCAATCAGATGCGCTCCTACTTGTACGCCGAAACAGAGTCTCGGCGGATCATCCTTCT